CAAATAAACGGTCTACTGATTTGTTATTAAAGATGTGTTCGAAATACATATATATCAATATGATGATCTTGATATGATGAAAGATCTCAAGGGATTTATATGAATAAACACAGATGGGCACAGGGCTGCTTTCATAATTTAGTAAATGTATTTGGTTCTATGTAGAATAACTTCCTCAAAGTAAATTGCACCAAGAATGTACTGCTCACACCTTATGCAGTTTAACCTATACAGGTATGAATTATACTAAGTGACACAAGGTACAGAAGAATGGTTTTAGATATTATTCTAGCCATGGTGAAAATTACAGTAAGACTTCATTCCAAAGTTACCCTCTGTAACCTTTGGCTGTTATACTGTATATACATTTTCATTAAGGTCTTTAATGCACATACTGTACAAAGAGAGCAACAAATTAGTTTAGATGCAGCCAGTTTTTGATATGTTAAGGATCCACAGACACACCTGTTGCACTGTTTTCCGAATGCATGTATTACATTTGAAAACCTATACCTGACTACAAATGACCTTTCATCAAGTCGTGTAGATTTATAAATAATGTGCTTTTCTGAAAACAAGTCAGCAGGATCTCTTTTCGGTATGCTGGTAAATCGTCTTAACATTCACTGAGGCAACATTCACACTTGTCCTTCAAGTTGTTATTTCACTGAGACAAATTATTGTACTTGAAAGATTCAGGTATTTTACCACAACAACCATGTTCACGTTGCTAGACATTCTCATTTGCATGAAAACAGACCTGCTCTTTGGACAAACTCACCAGGAGGCTAAATGTAAATAACCAACCTTGGTGTGGGAGAACATAATTGCGCAGCTCCTCCCTACTCTCCACTGTTACAAACGAGTGTTTAATGTGAGGGCTGATTCCTGATTAATGCTCATTTCCCCAGTGTTTAATAGCACTCTGTGCAACAGAACGGCAAAGCAAAAACAAACCGATGAGACTACTCCCACGTGGTGCCGGAGCGCAGATGGAGACAACTTATAGATGGAGATGTGGACTTGGCAGGGGTGGGAGTCGGAGCAGGTGTTTGGACGCAGCATGGACAGAATGTTGCTCTGTTTTTAAAGCACCTGAGAGCTAGCAGCCAGCAGAGGCCATAGGGTGCAGACACGTGCACCCCTTACTCTGGCTTAATCAACTTCAAATGGCTGTCTAATCATTTTAAGTTGATGATATAGGTTTTAAAGCATATAAATAGTCTGCAAAAGCCAACATCCTGAAGTTCCATCCAGAGGGAGATTCTATCCAACACACCCCGCCCGCAACGCCTCGATTGGACTCCTTTTCTTTTTACTTCTGGTACAGAGTGACATCACTATGTAACGCTCAGGCTTATATTGGCTAGTGCTCCAACACATTTTACGTGATATGGGGCGGGACATCTCTAAGCGGTTAACCAATCACAACAGAGCCGGCCAGCTAACCAATCAGAGCAGACTGGGCTTTGGTTTCATTCAGAAGGGGGAAAAGAGGTGCTGCAGCACAGGCAGTATGAGAGAAATCAAGAGCTTTTTGAACATTAAAGCATGGAGACATTTCTTAGTAGAGGCACAAAATAAAAATATGAACCATACAATTAGCATAAAATTGCCCCCTTGTAAGTGTCCAAGGTAACCAACCGTCTTTAACAGAAGTGGGTTGAATACACCCATGTGGGAATAAGTGTTCTACTGGAGTAACACAATGTTGAAAGTATTTGCTTTTCTCAAAGGTTTTGTCAATCCATATTCAAAATGTGTCTGTGACCCTCTGAACTCAAAGCAGATTGCAATGTGAAGATACTGGAAAACACTTTTCCACACCGATCTAAAGTACAGCTCAGACTGAGGAAGAGAAGTTGTTTAAGGCTTGCTTAACTGCCGTCCTAGTGTGGGCTGGAAATGGTTTCTCAGTGTGAGATGGTTTCTCAATAGAGTTGCTGAAATGCAGGGCACCCTGCTGTGATCCTAGGGCACCACCTGATAAAACAGTGTCTTCCTTCAAGTAGCACTTACCAAGCGTGGAGAACTCAAGTGGTAAACAACTTCACACGGACACAGATTTCACATGGAAGACGAGCGCAGTTACCAAAAGCTTTTCTGTTTTAGCTCCAAATGTTTGCCGGTTAATTTTGGCCAGTAGGAAAGGGGAAGAATAACTAATGTTAACAGGCTGTGAAATTCAACATCCACGGACGGAAGACATGAGTATACACAGAAGCCAAATGTTGTTTGAATCATTCTGAAAACCCTTGAAACCCACAAATAACCCCCTCGAGCAATCACAGAGCCTTGATAGGACATTCTTTTGATGTTCACTAGAAAAAGTAATAGCAGTGCCTCATTGGAAAGAAAACCTTTCAAAAGCTACCCCTTTCTTCCTCCTGCTTCTGAATTGAATCGGCGGCGGCATGCATTATACATTCCCTATTTTACAGAAGATTGAATTAAAACATCCTTTGTCATCAGAAACATTGCTCAGTTTGCGAAGTGACCAAGGCATGGCTATGAATAATTATATGAGAGACATTGCTCTAAACTGGCCACAGATTTCCATTAGTGCCTCCAGCCAGCAGTGAAGGGAGAGGGGGAGCGAGACTTCGGCCCTGCCTGTATCAACAGTGATGTATCACACAGCCCTGTGAGTCTTAACCGTTCAATTAGGAGCTCTACCGGGGCCCAGCCTGTCAGTGGCAAAGACCAGCAGAGTACCGGACAAGATCAAGAGCTGCTTCCTCAAACACACTTCAGGAGTCGGGGCCATCAATCTCCCCGACTGTGGCCGGCGGGGTGGTCGAGGGTTAGGACCCCCGCTGAAGCTGGGCCCGACTCAGAAAGGCTGCACAGGTAGTGCCATTCATCCCTATCAGCCCGGCTAAAAATGAATGAGCTCATGACCTTCACAGTGGGGAGAGGGGGTCACACTCTGGGCTGCGAGGGGAGAAAAATCCCATTTTCATCAGCGTTTCTCTGGACACCACACGGCATTAGCCTGGGAAAATGCTGAGGCTAGGTTTGTTTTGTTCCCCGAGTTGGCATCCTAGTGCGGCATGGGAATTTAGCTGGTTAATGTTGTGAGAAGGGCAATTTGTACAATATCATCAGGCACTCTCAAAGTGTTTATGTACATGTTTGAGATTGAAAAGCCCATCGTATATCAGCAATGTAACGATCCAAATTTAAAAAGGTGCCACTCTGTCGCACACATGATATCAATCTTTGTTGCTGATGAATTAGGAAACTCGCAGGAACTTCAGAATGAGAATTAAGATGAATAAACAAGTATTTATAAAGTCAACCATGTGGCAGGGCGGTTTCAAGATCTACTGTATGTCTGGAGAAAGCCATAAATCATATCAATTATGTTGACACACAGATGTTCCCAACACTAAGGGATGTGTTGAAAGAGTTTACTTAAACTTGTTATTATTCCACTGGTTGATTGGTATATATTTGCAGTTATTCTGCTATGCCTAAACAGTATGCACAGGTGCTCAGCTAGAATTACTTCAAAAGACTATTTATGTCCATCTGCCAACAATCTTAATGAAGATCTATAGGTGGAAACAATGGAAACACAGAAGGCTTTGTCTACAATAGAAAAAAACATTACCAAAGTAAAATGGCAATGATATATGTTGGGCAATTGCAAGCTGCAGTTATTTACTTTAAACGCAATGAGACTTTAGAGGAAACACAATGGAGTTTTACCAACAATGGAGCCCTGATGGCCATTTATTGTAAGCAGGGGGTGATTTGTTAAAGTGGGAATCTTTTTTGAATGTTTTGTTTGCAAAAGTAAACTAGGGATTGTGCAAACGCAAATACAACAAGCCTAAGGCAATACTAATAAAATAATAATTAACCGCTAAATGAATGAAAGGCTTGAACTGCTAAAAGACAGACATTTTACAAATTCAATTGAATCTCTTTTTCGCTTATTTGTTTTCTCTTGTACAAGAGAGGTGTTCTGTTGGAACAGTTCAAATAGCTGACACTAAAAGTTGTTTTTTATTCTGGCTATCACATTTGCAAATGATCTTCTAACAGATATCAAAAGCTCCAAATCCTGCTCTTCCCTGGGCAGCATGTTTGATGTGTGATTGACAGGTCATTAATTATCAAGCCCGAGTTCAGAGAGAGCTGCTCGCCAACTTGTGTTGTTTTGCAAGGTCTGTTACAAAAGTAATTCTGAATGGACTGTCTAAAATAAAACTTTGAAGAAATGTATTTGTAACGAGAAAGAAACATGTGGAATTCGCAACAGCTGTGAACACATCCCCATGTTAGTGCATTGACACACAAACAACCTTACAAAAACTTGACCTCCATGACAATTTTCAGCAACCTAGAACCCACTGACAGGCCGACAAAGCATCGCACAGAGACGGGGATTGAAGGGTCGATTAAAAAGCAGATTTCATTTGAGAATACAAAAGCAGCTCTTACTTTGGTTATAATAGACCGTTTCTACCGATGGATTGTGAATTAGCAGGAGTACCTCAATTGTTACCTGTTTACCTGTTACTTGTGGTATTCTTTAGGGTGGGTTTTCAAAGTTAATTCAGCTCATACATACAGTCCAGGCATTTGGATGTTAACTTCATGCCAAAAGCTATGGCACACTGCATGTGTTGACATAGCAACCTTAGCTTAATAAAAATGTTCTCTACAATACTGGTACGTACTGTAACTCTGGAATAAACCTTGGAACTCAAGATGATAACTAAAACGGCAGTCTTGAGTGAGCCGACCTTTACCAAGGCTGTGCCATAGATTTAAAATAACGTGTTTATCTGCACTGTGATTCAAATTAGTTGCAACTTTTAGTGAGTTCCTCGTTGGCCTATCACCCAAGTTTCACTGACAATCTCGCGGTTGTCTGTGTTGACAATCAGACAAAACATAACCTTCATTGCAGATAGATTTAAAAATGTTGAGAAATGTAGGTTCAACATATTTGAAAATAAGTGGATGAATGACTTTGGTGTTTCTGTTTAATTCTCGCTCAAAGCTTAAGAAAACAGTGTGGGTGTGATACAGCATAACACACATCTACAACATGATTTCTGTACAGTTCTTTAAGCCTGTTCTTGTGCCACTGAGAAACAACATAATGTACAAGTTCTCTCAAATCCCAGCGGTGCTTGGTAAGTAATGGTTTGACCTCACCTGCACATCTGGTCCTGGCCCTCAGAGGGGGTCCGGGCGCTCCGGTGCCTCCCTCCAGAGGTCTGGTCAGCAGAACACTGATCTCGTACTCTGTGTCAGGGTCCAGGTGGCCGATCTTGTGTGTGGTCTTGTCTACGGGCTGCAGGTCGTACATGGTGCCGGAAACAGTGCGGTACTCCACCTCCCTGTCGGTGATGGGACCGTCCCCGTTGATGGAGTTGGCGTTGAGCTGGATCCAAAGGTAGGTGGCTCCGACGGCAGTCAGCTGGGGGGGTGCGATGGGCACTGGGGGCTCTTGTGAAACAAAAAGATTTGATTGATGTTAAAAAAAACACACATTGGAAATGGGGAAAACAATCAATGGATTTTTTATTTGTTTAAAAAGCAGTGACATTCCAACAGAAAAACATAAAGACTTTTTTTTACCAAGCAAAATCAATTACTTCTTTCGAACAATCAACACAATCAAAATTATTCTGCAGCAAATTAAGAACATATTCATGTTTCCCAATTATCGAGGTATTCAAGAAGAGCCAGTAGCAATCAATAGTTCCAGCATTGTGGGGGAATCTCATCAGCAGTAGTACAATGACTAGACTCACAAAAACCTTGGCAAATGCTACTTCTATTCAACAATGTATTGATTTAAATCTATAGGAATAGTCGCTGTTAATTGACCATTAATTTACTTGTTATATCTTTTGTTTGGTTTAATCTCTCAATTCATGACTGTTGTGGTATTTTGTCATTCTGAAAAGGTACAAATAATTGATGGGGAAGCCCAAATCACAGCTATGTTAAAGGGGTGTTTTGGAGTTTAGCCTGAGCAGACCATTTACATGCACACAAAAACCTATATAGCACACCATAGGGAAAACACCAAAAAGCTTAACAGTGCTTCTTTAACTTAGTTTACAACATCTTAAAATCTGGCTTTTAATGTGTGATTGTTTTTGTATTATTTAACTATATATTTATTTGTTGTTCTTTTCTTTTCACTATATCTGTAAAGCGTCTTTGAGCACCTGTAAAGCTCTAACAAAATAAATGTATTATTATTATTATAACATGATTCAGTCTCTAACAAATGTCTCAGTAAATATATTGTAAATGTGAATGTCATTGTGAAAGCAAGATTCAAATACCAAAGCGCTGAATATGAATGGGTGTTGTAGGAAATCAATCATATGTACATATTTCTTAAACTGATCTAGTGCAGTTAAGGTATTGCCAACTTTTAGTCCTCAGTTGGTGCCAAGGAGCTGTTTTTCTGAGTGGGTCCTTGTTTTGTTTATCTCGTGAACTCGCACAATGACACACATTTGATGCGTATTGCTGTTCAAAACCAAGGCAAAACTAGACAAAGAGCGAATTTCAGAGATGTAGTGACAGAAACACAATGATTGCACTTCAATTCAAACCGTTTTGTCATCTGTGCTGCAGCCTTTTGTGTCAAACAGACTCGCTGTACAAATGTGATTTCTGGTCACCTTTACAAACGGATTAAACGTACACAATTACTACACATTGTGATATTTCAGAATAGTAAACTGCCTATGGTTTTTAATTAAGATAACTCTTTCCACACTATTTACTAACATCTAAAATCAATTTGTGAAGATTTGAGTTCTTCTTTAGGTTTAACTCTTGACAAAGGGAAGCTGCAGGAACATTTGAGGTTAGGATAAACTTCTAACATCTAAAAGATGAATTCTACATTTCTATCTTCACTTTTTAAAGTCACATTTGACAAAGATGGTTGTTCCACCATTGCCATTTTAAAAATAAGGACATCTTCACTATCTATTATCTAACCAGCATGTCTTTCATGTCTCCTAGTGCAACCAGAAACCCACAGTCAAAGTGTTGCTTAGGAATCTACCCTTGTCATGTATTACAATAGCTTCGTGTCCCAGAGGCCACGGTGAGTAGCTCTAATGAGCACACACGTGTAACAGAATAATACCATTAGTCGTCTGGCTGCTTCTTGTGGAGTTGTCATGGAGAGGGAGAAGTCTCCAGGCACATTAGGGCTGTTGTCCTACAGAGAATTGGAGGATCTCCCCCAGCAGATGGTTACCGTACTCTGACCTCAGTTGCCGGTCCCTAAACTCCCACTAATCCAAACTCCCAGTGTTGCCGTCAAACATCACCTCAAGCGAACCAGCTTATCCCACAGGACTTCTCTGGACACGCAGTCTGGATGCTGGAGCCAGACAAAGGGATGACGAGATCTAAAATCTGGCTTCAACCATTGGCTTGTTTTGATGGTCTTTTGCGGTCTGTTGTTTTGTTTTAAAAAGGGATTTAACTGAATTAAGTGGCAATATGCTCAGATTAATGAAACAACTAAAAGCAGCACAGGCTCTCTGTGAATGGCCCTCCCTCGTAGTAAAATGGGTCCATTAAAAAATACTGTGGTTATAATGGTGCTTGGCATTTGTAATATTTTAAAACATCCAAAAGAATAAATGTAAAAAATGTTTTTTCTCAATTTCTGCTTCAGAAAACAAAGACCTCAGGTTTTTTTGTAATTGTTTGGCTTTTATTATTTCTCTTGAAAAAGCAGATGGGATGTGCGATTAGAAGACAACATGTCATTTATTTTTTTGCTTGATAAGCATCTTTATACCTCAAAGAACCAAATTAAAAGTAAGAACTTTGTAATTTGAAAAAACACAAAGGAGGTGGTGAGGGCCATGTAGGTTGTTACCAGATTTTATTGACACATTTGTCAACACATTCATTTAATGCTAACACCCTGTGATGCAAAATGTGACAGAGATTTTAGCTGCTGACTAAGACGTGACTGATTCAGAGGGTGAGAAACTTAGCAACTTGGCAAGCAACATAATAATATTAAAATTCAAAAGTAACAGTTGCAGTTAAGTATCAAGTAAGAGCCATTCAAATTTAATCAACACTCCTTTACTATAGAGAAATGCTTTTCACTTTTATGCATAGATGCCCCTGCTGCCAAGCAATCCTATTTTTCACTTGAGACCATTTATGTAACAATACAACTAAGCAGAATTTTGTATTATAGGCATTTCATTTAACTTTGGGAAGTTATTGCTTGACAAAGGCAACAGCGGCTTACAGTGATGAAATAATTCCTGTAGGTGCAGTAATCCTCTGTTCAACAGCCATGGCCGACGCACTGGAAATAACGGATTACCGGTATGAAATACTCTCAAGTGCTGGAACACTTTGGGATATTAACAACTCAATTCCCAGTGTGTTTAAGCCTCGCAGCAGTTGGGCCCTGGAAAGGTCTACCAACTGATCTCCATGCTGGCTGGAGATGGCTGAGAGCGCGCAGATGACGGCGGCGGCCATACGAGAGGGTCAGCGAGCAGCTGTTGTCATGATGTTGACCAGACAGGCAAGCGGCCTGGCGACAGCTGCGCTCTCCTCTACCACCGCACCTGCCTGCCAGAATGCAAGCATGCACACTCATGCACATGCAACGAAAAGCAGTCACACTGCCATGCATTGCACATGGTCCCCATTATGAGTGGCAAAGACATACTGAGAACCAACATACTGCGACTGCCACTGTGACTCATTTATTTGTATGCTCATGAAAGTAAGGTGATGACTTGACTTTGCTTGTTTCGTTAACCTACTGTACAGTCGAAAACCCCAATATGTTAAATTGACAATAATATTAGACAGAGAATCCTCCTATTTTATAAGATGATGCAAGTAAGTAATTGGCAATTTTCCTTAATATGTTAAATAATCAACTTATCCTTCCAGCATTGTAACACTTTGGTAAATGGCCACCCATTTCCCATCCTCCACACTGAAGGCAATAATAAGAACAGCCCCTCTGCTGTGTTGTTAGATTGGTTGGACCTGCATTTTTATGAATCCTTTTTTCATTTGCTCATTACTCCCACTGAGCCGCTTTTGCTGAGATGCAAGAGGTCCTCATTACGTTGTTGTAGGAATTGATCCAGTCCTGATAGGAAAGAGCAGAGGTGGTACCAGGAAAATGACAAGCTTGACTGGTCGGCCTTCGATTTCCTGGTGGCTATTCTCATTAGTGCTGACACGGCCGCACCTCGTCAGCCTTGAGTTAGGAGCACAGCCCAGAATACTGTGTTGGAGCACAGCGAAAAGCTTTGCGGGCTCCAGGTGATTCTAACCAGGCCAAGAAAGGAGCCAGCTCTTGGACAGAGAGTAATTATCGCCCTTTCAGAACCACTGGCTGCACTACAGGAGAGCCCATCACAAGGGGGATAAGGGGGCTGCACTGGCCCAATCCGTATGGCGCTCAGGAAATACATGCAGCGCACTTCAACACGGGCGCATAAATCTGACTGAATACTGGCATGTAAGGCAGAAGTGATTATCTGGAATAATCAAGCATTCACTCTCCACACGTTAAAGCAAAAGGCAGTGTATGGTAATGAGGAGAGGGTGGGGGGGGGAACGAGCCGCTGTGTGACTGTAGCCGGCTCATAATCCACAGAACCACTCCGCGGTCACTCTTCTAAAAACGAGGCACGGAAGCGGTGAATACACATTTAAGGAGGATTTACGAGTCAGACACATTGCTGGGAGGGTTAAGCACTTGTTTTATGACTGGTACGATAAGAGGACATATCAGCCTTTTTTTTATGTGTGACACTTATAACCGTGAAAACGCCTCTTTTTTTCTTGCTGCGACGAGTTGGCTTATGCCGGAGTCATCGAGGTGTGACATCTCTGCAGAACTTAAAGCGAGATGCATTAAAAGATTTGATGAATCCTTGAATCTAGAGAACTATTTTAAATATTTATGACGAAGGCTCTCTACACTTTACTGGTTTGTATTGTATAAAAATAAATGCAGTAACACGTTGAAAGCAGCGATCAGCAAAAACATTGCCGTCTGGCGAGCATGTGTAAGTGCGAGTGATTGTGTTGCTGAATTTATGCACGAGTGTGGTTTTGAGTGCCTCCAGTGTGTCAGTAAATTTTCTTTGAGTACACCACTGAAACCCACTGATACACTCAGGCAGAGAGACTTTATCTCCCTCTTCACTCTGCTCTGTCTGGGCCGGGCCATTCTCACATGATTGACAGACCTCGATCTGGACAGCTAGGATTAAACCTATCAATCACAGAAAGCTTGGAGACAAAAAAAAAAAGAATGGAAAGAAATCGGGGCAGTAAATTCAATTGAAAGCACAGGGAGAAAATTGAGGTGAAGAAATATAGAAGGCCATTACCGGGCTATAGGGCTGTAGGAAAGTGAGGCCTTGCTGGATTTAGTTTCAGACGACTCCATAAATTCATATCAAATGACTGCAGGAGTGAAATATCAGAGAGGTTACTGTAAAGCCTTTGTGATTTCTTAGGTGGAATTGTGCTCGGTCAAGGACAGCCTTTACAGGGTAAGTATTAAAGTCCTCTAAATAACAAAACATAAACAGCGTGTATTTTTAGTATCGCCTTAGAGGACGAACACAGAGCACTTCCTGTTTGTCTCCTGTTGACTTTGCTGTGTGTGTAGAGGTCATGTGGATGGAAAAGCATTCATGCTGTCTGTGCCGAGTTGGTTCAGATAGGCTTTGTTTTCTCTCTGCTCTGGGACCAATACTCACGTTTTATGGTTAGTTCGCCATAATTGGACACTCCAACCCCTTTGTCTGAGTGGACGATGCAGCGGTAGCGGCCCGAGTCACCCTTGGTTGTGTTCTCTACATCAAAAGTGCCAATGAAGCGCCGGTTGTTCCAAGGTTTTGTGGCTTTCATCGGAGCCTCCCGTCCACCGATGCCCTGTTTGGAACCGAGACAAAGACACAAGTGAGCCCACAAAATGGAAAGGTTTAATAAGCAAAGTGGCCTGACCTTGTGTGTTTCAGAAAACACACACACACACACACACACACACACACACACACACACACACACACACACACACACACACACACACACACACACACACACACACACACACACACACACACACACACACACACACACACACACACACACACACACACACACACACACACACACACACACACACACACACACACACACACACACACACACACACACCTCCCCAGCTGTCACCCCTCACAGCAGGCAGATGGGGGACATTTGTTCATTAGAAATATTTCTTCATTACTGTCATCGGGGGACTTCACTTAATGTTTGTTTTCCAGCTCCTGTGCTAATGAGGACGTGTTTGTTAAAATGATGGAGTACCTGGCAGAGGACCTTTACCCAGCGTCATGCTCCCACTGATCACATGTGTGACAGTGTGCTTAGCAGCAGAGCCGGCGGGGTTATGTCTGCCAGATGCACTACCTTTGCTGCTCAGAACAAGGTCAATTCAAGACTGCTGTGCAGCTCAGTTTTGCCGGATATAGTACACGGTTTCCACAGAGCCAACATCTATATAGGTTAAGACCATACTGCGGTGATCTAAAACAACTGTAATCCCCTTCCCCCCAGACACAGAGGCCTCTGGAAGTCTGGGAACAGGTGAAAACACAAGGGCAATATAAAGCAATGTGGGATTTGTCTTATGATTTAACTAAAATCATAAGACAACCACTTGTTTTTCCTCAAAGTAACTTTTAAAAGTGAGTATTGTTATTAGTAGAAATTCTATACTTTGTCCATTGTACACGATTAAGTGTCCCATGGCACCTCTTCTTCACTGCCATCTTGTCAGTTCTTTCCTCATATCATTCATCATTTAGAGCTGTGGTGAAACTGCTAACCAGAAGTATGTTTGAGGTAACTGCAATTTAAATAGACAGTTGTCAGCCAATCAGGAAGATGTACTGTCTATGGTTGTGGTGAAACTGGTTTACATTTGGCTCTATGTAATTAGGGTTAAACAAAATAGCTCTTGCCTCATTCTTATGCTACCCTCTTCTTTTACCCAACCATGTGATCCATACACGTGGAGTTGTTGAACTAGTGCAATTATCTCTACAGTGTTATGGGTTGTTAGCGTCGGCATTCATTTTAGTTTTCCAGTTAAGATATTTTCCCCTTAAATCAGATCTTGAACTTATCAGGGTTCCTACACATTTTTCAAATCAAAATGTACTTGCTTTTACAAGTTTAAGACGACACTGATTTTGCCCTGACAATAACCCAACTGTTGGGAAACTTTGATTTACCCATTGTTGCTAAACACAGACAGTTGAACATTGTAAGAAAATAGTTAACTCAATACTCTGGAAACACAAAGCCCATCCCATCAAGCCTTAAAATTATTACAAATCCAATTCCATACTTTTTCATAGTGTGTGGGAACCCCATCTTATGCATTATCATGACTTATTTGAGAGCTTGCTAAATTAAATAGCATATGCTACATTTCTAATATCCCCATTTACAGTGGAAATAAGCCTGCAGCCTTCTTAGACAACAGCACTGAGGATCATACGATTACATATTCAGATAGGGTCTGTTCAGAGAGGCATGTTCGTTTCCAGAGGGCACACTTATAATACTGATCCCACCCTCTGATTTAGTCTTTGATTTCGAGTGTAAGTTACTCTAAAGCATGAAAATGGATCTCACCTGAAGCCAGAGGCGGAAATTGTCCCTTTTGCGTCCATTGACAGTGCAGTGAAAAGATGCCGTCTGTCCAGCGTTGACCTCCACTCCCTTTATGGTCAGGAAGTGAGGTGTGTTCACTGGGAGAACAAATGCAAATATTGATCAGACAGCTGCAGAAAAGTCATTTAAGAGTGAATGCTGAGTTGCAGCATTGCTTCATCAAATATTTGTGAGATGTAATCACTAAAAATGTGGTGCTTGTGTCTGCATCAAGCACCATGCTCCTGTGTCTAAAGCGTTACCCACTTTGTAACTCTTATGCCAAGATTTGTATGGAAAATGTTTGAATGGATATTGCTCCCGTCAGCGCCGGAGGGCAACATCGCTTTGTGCGGGAGATTTCAACCAAAATCCTTGAAATGAGACACCATTGGTGCACCGACCAAAAACACCGTCTTTAAAATGCATCCTTTCATAGATTGAGGGTATTTTTTTCCCAAAGCATTATTCTCTTCTCAGACTGTGCTCATTATCAGTATGCACACTGACTGGGATAGTGCATAGAAAGTAACTTATGTAGAACATTTTTGATTAGCAACGCTATTCTGCATAGAAAAATAGGGCAATTCGATGGAGCGACCTTGATTCAAAAACATAACCAAATCTCTAAAGGGTTGGCAAAAGCTAATTCTATCACTTTCATCATCAAGACTTTCATTTCTACTTAATATTTTACAAGCCCGTCTTTGAAATACACCTCCTTTACAACTTTGTCCTGTCAATCCATCCAGTGCCAAAAGAGACAAATCTATTTTTCTCATCGCTAATGTCTTCTTTAATGATGCAAAGAAGAGGCAGACCACCCAGTGGCATAATCACACCTTTGTGCTAGATATTCCACACGGTCGTATAAATAGAAAATGAATTGGCTGCGCTCCACCGACGAGTCTCTCTGATCACTTTGCTTATCAGTCAAATAAACCCTATTGCCACTGAGAGGGTTATTGATCCAAGCACACTTTCACACATTTAAACATTGATCACGTCGCAAGGCCTCATCGATTTACTCAAATACATTTATATGCAACACCTATCGCTATATAAATCCATTTTATTGACATAACATTTGTAGGAATTCAGCTGCTTTCTAATGGTTACCAGGTCATTAGCGCCACACAATCAGAGCTTAATACTTTGGCTATGAGGGGTAAAGTATAAATCAATTAATGAAATCCTGTGTGGTATTGATTTAGACTTAGGCTGTAGAGTGTGACAATCTCTTTGTATAAGATGAAGAAGAGCCATATGGAGTAGCATGACTCAAGGTACTCAAAAGCATAGACATGACATATCCTGAAAATCCCTTTTCCTTGTTTTCTAACAGCAGCAGCCTATCCCAAAAGCTGAAGCGGAAAAAATCTAAATATGCGACTGATTACATGTTCATTAGCTCCGCAGCGCACTCTAAAGTATATTCAGCGAGGGAAGCAGAACTCTGAACATCTGAAAGAGGAGATGCTGCACTGAATATCCTTGAGGGAGGAGAAACATTGTGGAATCCAAACACAAGCAGCAGCAAGTGTATTTGTTTTTTCATCCCTTTTTACGCAATTTCTCCCATCTCTCAAAGGATAGATTTAACACAGCCACTCCAACATTATATCCCGAGCACACTTCAGCATGTCGTCTGTATGCTCATAAATCTTCAGGGAGCTATGAGGAGGGAGGTTTACACTTTGGATTGACTGTAGCATACTGTTTGAAGGCCCTTTGTTTGACTGGGAGGCCTTGAATATAACAGCGATACAGGTATTTGGGAGGGTGTCATGGAAAGGACAATGAATGTTTGATGATATTCTTTTATGGCGAAGGGAAAAAAGGACTTACTGCACTGGTGGCCCTGGACCACGACGTCTTTGATGGCCAGCAAGCCACGCTGCCCTGAGGTTACGGCTTCAAACACAATCTGAGGAGGAGAGAGGACACTCATAACACCAATGATAAATGGGCAGATGTCTTCAAATGGCACTTGAGTGAGGCTGCCCGTGTGCAATGGGAAGTCCAGCTCCCGCTAATGCGATCTACTCTTAGCTGGGCCGCAGCTGGTCACACAGCTGCGGGCCACTGACGTTATTTCCACAATATGTCACAGTTGAAAGGTGCTATGACATGCAAGTGTTAAATTAAGTTTGAGCCCCGAGACGTTTAGCACACAGTCGGTGACAAACACATAGTGGGGAGAGACACGGTTGAGATATCATTCACTGATCAGTTATTCAGGTGCTTTTACCCCAAAACAATGCAGGTGAATGGGATTTTACTTGTGGATTGTATGACATGAACATTCCCATTCTTATACCCTTCTTTAGATTTATCTGTAAGTCCCCTAAACGTTCTCAAAACTTAATAGCTAGTTCTAAAGAGACTACTGAAGCATAATCTGTAAACCTGTTTGTTGTTCTGCAGTGATGTCAAATCCAAAAGCAATTACATATGCAAACAGGAAGTCAATGCTGCAATACAAGCTGTGATCCAAATCAAATAGTTAAGTTATAACGTAATTAATGGTCAAGCTTAAGTTAGCTAGCTCAGTTTTTCACTTAACGGTAAACAATTACAAACACTACACATAGGAATATACTGTGGTGCTACTGGTTTTAATTTTAAATAACTTATTAGCTAAATAAATTATAACTAGGCAACATTTTAACTTATACAACTTGTGCAAGTGACCCTTGGTTATTAGATAAATTATTTATTATTGTTCACAGTATTTTAAGCACTACTTTTTAAATAGGCTCTAAAAAAAACTTTTGACGAGCATATCAATCTCAAAGGAAAACGCCTCAAACCAAAAATATAAAAATATAAATATATCTTTGCATGCACGGATGCCACTAGATGTAAGTGTGATGAACATATGTGAACGTATGCTTGTTGCATTCAACAGTTGCTCTGTGTCTAGTACATGTCTGACATGTTTGTTGCTATATCTGACAACCGAAATCTGAAGTCAACTACAACTGTGCCAAGTATATCTACCATGAGTCTAATTTAAGGGCCAACATTTGCTGCAAAACAAATGGTCGTAAGCCCCGTCAGAGGGCGTGCCCCAGCAGAATGTCAGAGTTATGTACTCGCTGGTCTGCACTGTGTTAAAAAAGGAAAAAGAATGCCAGTCCCTTCCCAAACCCAGGGTGTGGTACAGACCCATTATGCCACCCACACTCACACTACACATGTTTCGCATTCCATTACTCACTAAATATAGGCCTATATCTCCCAGTGAATGGTATATATTAATGGAAATGTTCTGTATATGGTCTCACACAGACACAGATGTTCTGCTAGCCGTAGCTAGGCTGCACACGCTTACATCTGAGATTCCTTTTGTAGCCGGGGAATGTGGAGGAGGAGATAGTTACCATTGTCATCAGGGAGGCAGGATGCATTCAGATAAGGCTGTCTAATTATACATTTCTTTTTTTGTCTCATGAAATATGAAAGTGAATGTCTTGGGTGCCAATTATGGCCTCATTACAGGCTAATTTAAAGGAAATTAAAAAGGCCAACCACTCCATATATCACCACCAGACAAATGAACTAGCCCCCACTCTCTAATTGAAATCCTTTGTTTGTGCAACAGACATCAGTCAGCTTGCCTAATAGCTGTGATATAATTGATTCTAACATCAATGATAGTGCAGTGCATAATTGGGCCTGACCCACAGACTGAAAATATTCACATGGGACGAAAGCTGTTGGTGTCACAGGAAAGTTCACTGTTCTCATTTGCCGGCGAGACACGTGGTGACCCCACATCGAATGTCTACATCACCGCTCTGGCTATCCCTGAGGGACTTGGCTAAGTACTACATTACAGCAGGATTGATTAGCTCTGCCAATGGCTCTACTGTATTGAAATCAAGACGGATGAGGACATTTGGGTTTTTCTCTCTCATCAGGATTAATATTGGGTGTTCGTCTTATGCACATAGTACATATTTTTGAGCGATGTGCAGACCCTATTTAGACACATTTCATTTATTAAAAGTTAAAGTTTTTGCCAGTGTTCAGCAGCTTTGGAAATGCATGACAATCTCAATTAAAAGTTTTAGGGATGACCTGACAGATGAGTAATTATGAAAGGCTGAGGGGCTCATGACGACTAAAATACTTACCGGTAATTAAAAAATAATTTCCCAGTATCAGGTGGCTTCCCTTTGACGATAGCGTAGGTTACCGTGCAATTAAAGATACCTATAATTAGTGCCATGTTGTTAATTAGTGACAATTTCAAGCATTGGTCTCTCTTTTCTCTACTGAGAGTGGCACTAATATCATTAGCATCCTCACATTTACCAATGTTGTCACTTTGGGTCTGGAACAATTGCAAACAGAGACGGACCTTCCACTGGGGGTTAAGAGGCAACAGATGCCGGGAATTTCCCTGAGCACACTGGGAAAGATTACAAATCATTTCGGGCTGAGATGCTCAACCCATGTTCAGAACTCTGCAGAAACCCACTGTGAACAACATGTCAACAAATATTCAAGCGTCACTAAACTTAACATGGATTTCAAAAGCAGAACACTGTAGTGTGTTTAAAAGGTTTAGCTTGCTTGTTTTTGGCAAAGTTACAGTCAAAGTGTTATACAAACAAATAAAAAATATAAAGAAAAGATTAATTTCCCTATTTTTTTAATGGTTTCAGTGATGGCTAAAGCTTGGACTTGTGCATGTTGCTTTAGCCACTGAGGTCTGCACAGGATAAATCTGAAAAAAACTTTATCCAGATAAGCATCATTATGTCAGGCAAGGGTCAAAATCCTGTTGCCTTCCCCCTCTTCTCTCTTCCTTTTGTCCATGTCCCTCTCATTAAGGCTCCTATCTTGCATTCAGCAGTGAGAAAGCTCAGCGGTGTACCTTGTTAACCAAGTTATCAGGGTTGGCTATGATGAGCAAGCAGGAGAACTCCCCTCAGCTCCACTGTGGCCCAGCTCAGGCCATAATGAAATAATTCACCAAGGGAACATCTCCCATTGGGAGGTTAAGGGGTCTCTCTGCATCAATTAACATTTGATGGACTCGTGGAACAAGCCCCAGCGAAGACTAATAGCCAGGCAAGTGTGAAATCACCTTGCCCCTACCAGCAGTCATGTGCATTGGAAAGTGAAAATGAGTTTTCAGAATTGGAAAAAGAGAACAGGCTCAGATGGCAGGGAGAGAGAACAGATTGCCATGGATACAGCGGTAGCCCCAGAAATCAATAATCTTAGGTGTTTTGAATAGGCCATTGTGCAATTGTTTGGACATTCTCAAATAATACATTTTTCTTGCTCCACCCCGCGAGGCAGGTTTTAATGACTTTGGCTTGGTAATAAAGGGCTGCTTACAATGAGCAACCTAGTTTTGTGATGACACATTATGCAAAGAGAAGAATGTGGGATCACTCTGGGTTTCCTCACCTGGTAGAAGTTGGGCCAGTAGGTGCTGACGGCCAGCTCCACCTGTCCCCAGGAGCGGGTGGCCGAGCCGGACACGTTCCACACCGGCATCCCCATGGGACTGTTGTTCTCCTTGATGTAGACGTTCAGGTGTCCTGGGTGGCTGTTGTCTCTGCCTCCTATGTAGTAGTGAAAGGTAACGCAGTGGGTGTCATTCTCCCTCAGCTGGGGTGTCAGCAGCAGAGCCTTCTGCCCTGCAAAGCGTCCCGACGTATTCATCATCATGAAGGCCGAACCTGCAACACAGACAAGGCAATTTTATGCAACAAGCAGTTTAAAAATAGACGTAGAAAAAAGTCCTGCAATACTCCTATTTAAAACTGCAAACCCATTTATCTAGCGATGAATGTATGGGGAAATCATTTTTTAAAAAGAACTAATTATTACGATTAAGAAATGTAATTAGTCGTGATATTGATGATACAGTATATCATTACCGGGATTGAAAAGCCTTGAAGTACCTGCATTTCACGTTACAACCACTGAGTTTCTGAAGAAATACTTTTGATAATTCTGTGTTTACATTGATAATCTTAGACTTTAATGGTTTTTGTAACCTGGGGGATACAGTCATTTGACTGTGTGTGTAAAATGGGTGTAATACCAGTGTAATGCCGGTGTAATATGGGTGTAACATTGATGTTATATGAGTGTAATATGGGTCTGATAACAGTATAACATTACATGGGTATAATATGGGTGTAATAATGGTGTAATGGGGTGTAACATGGGTTTAATAACAGTGTAATATGGGTGTATTAATAGTGTAAAAACTGAGTAATATCGGTGCATTACAGGTGCTTGTGAGTTCCAAATTGTCAACAAGGAGGTGGAAGAAAAATAACAAATTCATATAATGTATCTTTAAATAAAGATGCCAAAAACTAAAAGTGGTACAGTTCTGTTTAATCCTTGGCAACATTACTTGGATCGTTTGGTGTTTTGAAGCAGGTGGTAATTTTACATAACAGAAAGATGTCCAGGACAAAAATCTGTTTATTCAAAGCCATCGGGTCCTTGGGTTTAACTAAATAAAAGGATGTAATATCATCAAAAATATGCAGAAAGAAGGTAAATGAAAGTGCTGAGACATTTTCTATTAGCGCTGGGGATTCAAGCAGTTGCCTCTTAATGAGAAAATGCTCTTACGCTTGGATTGATAGAACCTCTAATTTAATTTTTCCATCATTTATCTAAATACAAAAACCAAAAAGCGACTTATCGTAAAAATGCAGGGTGTTTTATGAGCGGTGTTTTTTTTCCCCTCAATGACTGAGAGAAGGGAAATGATGAGAAATCAATAAGTTTAAATCTATTTGCCAAGCCAGCCCCATTTGGATTTTATCGCTTCGGTTCAATATTAAAAGGTTAATCTAATTCTTTCCCCTCTTGCCAATAAAACACAAGTGAGAATTATTATATTGGCAAGCTTTCAAGGAGATGCAGAACACATTCTATTTGTCATCATCCTTAGCTTGGCTCGGTAATGAGATGGCACAAATCGTAACAGCATTTGAGACGCGGCCAAAAAGATTCAGTTTTTACTTCCGTTTTTTTGGAAAGTGTGGTAATGACTGGAAGGCACATTTTGCTTAGAGGTGAGACAAACAACCTGTTAGCAAATAGCTCTGCTCCCCTGCATGGGAGGCAGAGCAGAACGGTGGTGGATGCGAATCTTCTTCATTAAATTTAACATCTGGTGATTCACTCAGATATGGTGTTAAAAAGGGTGAATTACGTTGACTAAATCAGCAGGCTTGGTCCCCCAGTGTGCCAACCAAACAGCCTCTCACAAAACCCTATTTGTTCCTTCAATGACTCGAGCTTGCCCACTTGTCTTGTTGTGCTGCACTTGTAACGCTCACCAATTCCATCTGTCTCCAGCTTCAGATAACGAGTGGGGGTTCTGTCATGTTTACACAATGAAACAGGAGGAGAGGGAGCAGAGGAGGAGGAGGAGCAGTGAGTTGTGATGACACCGAGTCAGCCTCCGCTGCTTTTTTTGTCAGGTGGTAGCAAGTTGTTGTTTAAAAGGATCTTAACGTGTTTTCGATCACATCATACACAAGAAGATCTCGACATACATAATTGAAACAGAAGTAAAAGCATGACCGCAAACCAGAGAAACAATGTGATACTGCAGGTGAACCTGTGCATCATAAGTGTGCATTATTGTATAATGTAGAAATGGAATACAGATTATGTGAGCGATAAAGTGTGCTTTAATACAACCTTTTATGGGTAAGCTTACATTTGGCTTAGATGTCCAAAATTAATTATGAAGTTATTATGAAATGCATTCAAGAACTAATGTACTACTGTATTTTAATATACAATATATATATGTTTAGTGTATTATTGTGCTACTTTTCCCTTTCGTTTCTTATGTTTATATACATTTTTGTATTCAATTTTTTAAAATCTTTTCATTATTTTTTTTACTAAATATTTGTGTTATTTATTTAATTATTTTAATTATTTTTCTCAGAAATGGCGCAGCATGAAACCTGATTTCCCCCAGGATAGATAAAGTCTTCTAAATCCCCAACACTTTCAATTAAATCTCATTGTCTTTTGTTGTCATGGAGATAGCTCAGTGCATGATCATCACATGACTCAAGCATGGAACACTGGAACTACAAAACTACTGCCATGACAACTGAGCGGTTCCAACATTCCATGCTTGGATCACATGACGACAACTGAGATCTCTGCTGCGTTCACACCGGACGCGATGCGAATATTCGCTCGGGGGCTACAACTACAACAACAAAATGAACATATTTTACCGTGATTAAAAATTGTAATATACGTTTCAAAATGATTCCGAAGTAACAACATACTGATACCGGTTAGTAAAAACCATGAATTAATGCTTTGACAAGTCTGCAGACAAGACGGCAGGCGAAACACCTTTTAAAATGCTTGTTTTCTGAATGAAGATCGGATCGACCAGGCTAAGCTAACGTTGTATATGCTCCGTCCTGCTGTCCACACTCATAACAACGGCCTACAGACATAAATAAACCAGCGACTGTATTCGCCACAGTCTGTGTTTTGTACTTGTTTAACTTTTGTCCAGTTTCTGAACAGATATGAGGAGCTGTGAGCTCTGACTGCTAACAGCTAACGGCTGATGTTTTGGTTTTGCGGTTCTACGTCAGTGACGGCAGGCTGAGATCCTCACCGCTGATTGGGTACCGCGAGATCGCGTCACAGGAATTTGGCGCTCGGAGTTGAAATTGTTTTGCTCGAGCGGTTATCGCGGTCCCCTCCAATCGCGCCGCGACATTCGCATCAACCGCTTCATGCTCGCCGTCGGAGCGAATTCGCGTCCGTCTGCATCTCTGCATTGACTTTACATGTAATCGCGCCGCCCCCAAACATTGCATCGCGTCTTATGTGAACGCAGCATTACAGATGTCAGTAGTTACATTTACTCTTTGCATGTAGTAAAGTATATATATATATTTTTTTTAATATAAATTGTACTTCTGGGTAGTAGATTTGTGGCTACATTTGAGATGATATGAAATAACAAATATGTACTCCTACACCCTTACATTTGGCTAAACGCTTCACACCACATTTAGCTATAAATCACTTTTATATCCAGCCGAGCTCAAACGCATGACAGTGATTTTCAGACAGCGAGAGATAAGATAAGCCGTCCAGCCAATCATAGCATCCTAGATATAATGTGGCTGTACCACCTCCAGAAGCCCCATCAAAAGACTACAGTTCAAGATCATGGCAGAAGATGTCTCCTTCAGATCAGGCTCATGCACATCTCTGACCCAACAACCAGACCAGGCTCCAGGTCATAAAGCTACTCACTACTTCTTTACGAGCTCTTACTCAATAAGTTATTTGTACTTTACTTGAATCAATACAATTCTAAAGAAGCAATACCTTTAATTGAGTACTATTTTTATTTACTCTAACCTCCACTGACTAGCACATTATGCTTGTGGCTGTCCTGTGGTATAGATCGCCCTGCACAGCATGATCACTCTGTTATGATCCACTGTTGTTCTCCCAGAGCTTTTTAATCTATTATTCACTTTCAGTTTGTCTCTGATTCAAGTGTTGAGGCGCTAATTATTTCTGAGGCTGTGCAGGAAGTTGTGTCAGGTACAAGCAGAAGGGCAGGCGATGAGTCGACTTTGAGACACTCGTTTGTCCAACCTCAATCAGGTGCCTTGATATGAGGGCTGCAAGGTCTCTTTAATAACTTTCCGCCATCTGCTCAGGTGCCCAGAACACTTTTGTTTTTTTCCCTTTGAGGCGTCAGCAACCCTTGGTGTGATGTGAACCAGCACTAATAATCAGGTGATGAATAGTTCAGTTGTAGCTCATGTTACAAAGACCAAAGATGCTGGCACTAGGCGTTCTTCCTTTGATTAAAACAGGCTGTTTACTTTTCATTGCAGAGCAGCCATGTTGTGACAGTGTTGCACAGGAGATTCATGCATAGCACCGCTCTTTGTTGGTAATTAAAGATGAAAATATCATATCCCTCAAGCAGCTTTTGTAAAAAAAAAATGTACTACTGCGTTGGTAAGTAAGTCACTTCTAGTTTAATAAAGCTCAGAGGCTGTTAATATTAAAATGCATTTGATTGCAATACATGTAAATATTACAACATTTCTTCCTCGCTGCCAGTCGGGTTGCAAAACTGTTGCAATGACACTCCTGTCACCAAGCTGCGGCCTTCAAACCGTCCTGCTTTGGATCAGTGAGCTCGAACACAACAAGGGGGCTTTCTTGTCCTCATTATTGACCACCACAAAACATAAAAATGTATTATTTCAAGCGACAGGCCATTGTGCTGCCGCTGTCATCGTCTAACAGGAGAGGAGAAGATGACAGGAGAACACTGATTGTCAGTCATTTCTCTGCTCTTATATTCTAATGACCACATACTCGGCAGGACCTGCTGCACCATGACAAGCTAATTAGCCAGTGAGACTAAGAGCAAATTATAATGACACTGTTAGCGCTGAGCTAATGTGCTAGTGATGCACACGGGTGTTTTCTCCCCCTCTACTCTTCCCTCTATCTCTTGCGCCTTAACAATAGCGGGTTGGACACCAATTAAAAATGGAGTGCTCTCGGCACACTCAAGGCCCATGTCTGCGACTCTGTAAAGGCCAGGGCTCGGCTATTGTCTGAGGTATTCAGAGGAACAGATTTATTATTATTCCAATGTAGGCCACCTTCACCTTCCATTACA